AATTCTAAATGGCTTTGAAAATTTTAAAATAAATAATATAAAACAATTGGATGAATTAGAAAGTTAAAACTAAAAGATCTAAAATATGTACATATATCTAATCAAAAAGAGTTAAATAAATTAATAATCAATTTATTATATACATAGTTTTGTCTATATTATTCATAAAGTTTAATATTGTCTATTTTATTTTTTTAATTATGACTAATAAAGATTCGCCATAACTAAAATTATTTTATTTGAGAATAAAATCTCAATTTTCTAATTAGATAATAATAATGAAGAATTGAATTTTTTGTTTCTTCAAATGTACAAAATGAATTATCATACTTTGGTTAAATACTAAATTATTTTAAATTTAGGATTAATTGTATGATTTTTGTTACTATCTTGAATCTTTCTGTCATAGAAATTTAAATTTATGTATCTCATTCATTTTAATTTAAAAACTTTTTTGATCATAATTGAGTATTATTAATTAAAATAGACATAAAAATTTTATTTTTAAACTACCTGATGGCTTTTTTAATTTTATCTAAAACTACACAACTGAAATATATTGAGTCAATATTATTTAAGATAACAAAAAAAACTCTAAACTTAAACAAATTATAATTAAAAATCTCTATAGTTTTAATAAAATATAATTTATCACTTTTAATTACTCAATTCAAATTCAATTTAGTTTTGCTATTATCGCAGCTAGGATTTCTATCTTATAATTTTTTAGCATAAAAATACTAATATGATCAAGAGGATAATAAGGTAGATACTATTAAATTTTGAATCTTGTATAATTATTAATTGTACAATTAACAAGAAGGCATTTTGATTACAATTATACCTAAGCTTGAGATACTAAATTTTAAGAAATCAAGGTTGTGCTTAATTATTTTGTTTCAACTTTTGAGATTCCTAATTCATAATCTACTTCTCCCACAAAAACTCACAGTATAAAAATAATAGAATAAATAATGTGTAGTATATTCAAAGAATTTACATTCTATTATGATTCCAATAAATATTGAATAATAAAAGGAAATTATAGGTACGAGTAAAAAAATAAAATAAATGAAGTTCAATTTCAAAAGCATCCAATAGTTCAATAAATTAGCTATTTAATTTTCTATAATATCCTCAATTAAAACATACTGTTTTAACTCATAAATTATTAAATCTCTATCAATCTAACGATCTAAAAGTGTACCCAATATTAGGTTTATTAATACTAGCATTTGAATTACCCAATATTATCCCTAAAATTCTTATTTTGTAGTTATGTATAAGTCATTGGTATTTTTAATAAACAGAATTTTATCAAATTCATAATAATTCATTAGTGATTTGATAATTTAATTTATTATCAAGTATAGATACAGATATGAACTCCATTTTAAAATAATCAACTTACCAATTTTTAAAAACCTTATCATGAAAAGCTAAATTTATATTTGATTAAATAGTAAATTGTTCATCTTGGATCAAATAATTATCTTTTATAAAAAATCTTCTAACGTTTAAATCATTCTGATTAGTTAAAAATAAAATTAATAAAAACTACTCATTTCCACAAAAAATATCTAGAAATATTCCATAATCTTTTTAAAATTTTTTCTTGATTAGTTCATGATTTAAAAAAACTTGTATACCTGATTCAAAATGCAAAACATAGATTTTTGTTTTATTATATTATTAGCTTTCATTATTAGTTTATTAGAGAAATATAGTTTTAATTTTGATATTATAATTTTTTTAATAATTTTTTATTGTTTCTTATAGTAATTAAGGCCCATTTATTAATTAATGTATTATCATTTTATAATGAAAATAAGTTATATATTTGCCCTAGAAATAATTAATCTAGTTTGATTCTTAATTAGTTGCTCTTTCCAGCTAAAGCTGTATTTAATTTTAAATAGTAAATAATTGATAGCATAAATTATTTTTAATTAAGTAAAATGATATCATCATATTAAATTCATTTGGATCAAACGGAATAATTTCGATTATATTTATAGAGGATCATTTTGGTTAGGAATAAGATTTATTGAGTCACCTAAAAATATTGAATATTATAAAATCTAAAATTTGAAGATTTATCAAAATAATAGAAGTAATGGTTTTCTAGAAGAAATTTTATGAACTTTTCTCTATATTTGCTGCAATAATTAAATAGTTTTAATTTATTGAGTACAATAAAATACTTTTCTAATCCATATTTAAATGGTCTTAAAGTTTTTGCATTAGCAACAGTATATTAATATAACAATATTATAGAGGACTTTTTAAAAATTATAATTCTTCAAAATTTAAATAATATATTTATAAAATATCTTCAATTTAATGTAATGCTAAAAGTTGATAAACATCAAATATAATTTCTTATTTAAATTATTTTAACATTTTTCTATATATACTATATGTATTTCTCATTTTTTATTAGTATCAAATGCTCAAAATATTAAAAGAAGTGTATAGACCCTAAAATAAAAAAAGACTTAATCTTTATATTTTAACTATTATCAATGAATGATACAGTTTCATTTAAAAAATTGTTTAAAGTTCCAGAAAGTTCCTAATTTTTTTATAATTTAATATCGATAAGAAGATATTAAGAGTTTTCTTCAATTAATTTTAAGCAGAATTATTGAAATTAAACAATATTCATTATTTGCTCATTTAACTCAACGTTTATTTAATTTATTTTGTTGTTTTAATATTAGATTAACTTCATCTAGTTTTTGCTCTTTTCATTTAATAATAAAATATTTTTTTAATGAATGAATACCTATTTTAATTAATAGAAAATTTATATTTTTTACCATTATTGCAATTTAAAAAGAAAATTTAATTTGCGTTTTTTAATAGGATGGGATGATATTTTAGATTGAATCATCATGTAAGATTTTTAATTTTTCTTGAACTAGATTCTTATTGTTTATGAATTTATACAATAAACTAAAGTTAAATTAATAAGATATATAAGAAAATGGAAAGAAAGATTTATACTGTTGATTTCATACTTTGAGTGATTGCTTATTTTAATTTGATATTCCATAGGAAGTAGCTAAGTTGTTTTTTTTACTAAAATATTATTGTTAATCGGACATATATTATTGAATTTTGAAAAATTTATATAATTAATTGAAGAAAATGATTTTCCTTCTATTTAGTAGCATCTTTCAGGGAAAGCATAAAAAGTTTATCCAAAACTAAATTAAAATAATTATAATTATAATTATAGTTTTCTTATTCATTAAATAAATAAAGATATGACTATAATCTGATATCCTTTTAAATGCCTAAATTGAAAAAAGTCTAAAATAATAACAACTTTTACTAACTTATTAAGAATGCGTAATTTTAGATATATAAATAACAGTTATTTAAATGATTCTATTCTAAAATTTATAGTATTTTGGAACTCATAAGAATTAGAATCCACAAAAAATAATCAATATCTAACAGACCATAATTCCAAACATTATTAAGATTCTACTGTAAATTAATTCTATCCCTTAAATTTCAGCTAACAAACATTCAAAAAAAATTAGCCATAAAATATGAGGTATCATTTGATGGTTTTACAAAGTCTTAAGATAGTGAGAAACTAACTATGAGTGTAAAGATGAGTAAAAAATTCCATAAATAATTAAGAAATAGTTTAAATAAAATACTTTATATTATTGACTTAAATAAAATTGAAATTAGCAATCATTATTTCCCTAAATAAATTTAAAATATTTGGATCAATCTAAACTTTTTATATAGGGATTTTCTAAAGGCTCTAATTGTATTCTTCAAAACATAATCTTGCAAATTCCTAAATTGGGTGATGTTAAATAACCATCTTCACAGATTAAACATTTTACAGTTTATTATATAATTTAGATCATTGTTAACAATTTAAAATGTGTATTTGACAATTTATCATAAAGAAGGTATATCAATTCTGATTTAAATCCATAAGTGAACATGCAATTTTTCGTAAATATAAGATTTTGATTTCAAAACAATTGTAGCTACATTAACTGTCAAATATAAAGAATAATTAAAAATATCAATATGTATTGAAACCCAAAGTGATAATTAAATTCTTGGAATTCAAAATTTGTTAGTCTATGGCAAAAATTGCTTACCCACTTGCAAAACCTGTTGAAGTTCTACAAGCTGTGATATGTGCTATTTTGGTACTCCATTAGGGGAATCTGGTAGTTGTAACCTTTTTCATTAATTTGCTAGACTGGAATTGGATGTAGATCGGAATGCGCAAGAGATTATATTATAGCAAGATCAGATTATATTTTCGTAAAAGATAGAAGAATTAAATCAAATATTTCATATTTCGAATCTACAACTTTCAGCAATCATACTCCCTTTTAATTTGTTCAAGACTCTGTTAATAAAATGCTTTCCATCACCTTTTCCTCTAATAACTATGTAGAAAGTTTAATTTTTAGTGAGAGGATGAGTTTATAATTTACAAATACCTAATCTTTAAAATTTATCAGACTCAGGATCACTTTCTACATACAGGAATTTTTGACTGATAATGAAATTTAAATATTGCTGGATGACTACATATAAGGTGAAATAATCAAAGCTACTACTTTTAATAAAGTGACAAAAATTAAAAGTTCAAGTACTAATTGTTCTAATTATGATTGAATCAGAATAGAAGCAATTATTCGATCTTTTTCTGATACTCCTATAATTCTACAATCTGTGATTTTTCAATATGTCAAAAATGTAACACTGGTTATGTGTTATTTTAAAATGGTTTTGTCTATGCTTGTCCTGTGCATTCTATTTATATTGTTGATTATGCTGATATAGTACCAAGAGTAAATTAAATTTCTTAAAAGAATTTTGCAATATGATACCAAGTAATTTAAATGAAAATTAATTTTAGACTCTCGTTATTTGGCAAAAGGATTTTATAATTTTAATATGAGTACTTCAGATATAAATTAATTCTTTGATCAAAATACTCTAACTGGTAATAATTTCTTGAGAGGATAAAAATTTTCGATATTTCCATCCAAATTTGCTTTAGATGGAATGGAATAGTGCAATAGATAAAAAATCATGGATTATATCCAAAGCTCCATATGCGGTTAATATTTGATTTAATTTTACATATGGAGATGAATATAATGGAAATTTTTATTACACTATTTTAAGAGTAAAATCAATAGCACGAAACCATCAACATTGGGTTATAGAAAATTGATTAATTCACAACCATATAAAACTTTATTCGTACTGAATCCTTAATTTTCAAATATTATTCCTATTATAAGAATTGATTAACAAGGAAGTAGAAATATTTTTATTATGAATCTAATTCTTATTTTGGGCTGTTTAGTTTAAGTCTTTTTAAATTTTCAGAATCTTATTTTATATTTCAATTATCTCAAAGTTAAATTAATTATACAGAAGCACAATCGATATTGCTATCGAAGCAATTATTAATATTTTTGATTTATTTAATCAATTTAAGCCCTTAAAATCTGTATGTAAACTTTCAAAACTAATATGCAAAGAATTTTTATTTATGATTATAACAATTACATTCGTATTTTATAGTTTTGAATTTAGTTAAGAAAATAACATTATAATTGGCTGGATTCATATTGAGATGTTTTGTACAATTTTGGCTTCCAATTTATTGATAAGTAAATTGAAAGGATAATTATCAATATTAAAAATGAGAATTCCTTTCTTCAAATCTTATTATATTCATAACACCTAATTAGATTAAATCTATAAGAAATAGATAGTGAGTCTTTGATTTACTTTAATTTATTTATAGCTTGAATATTCATAAAATAGTCATGGAAATAAGTTTCTCAATTTAATATAATCTTTAAGGATATTTTCCAAAGAATTCCAAAATCTATTCTAAAAAGCAAAAAGATTTAACTTAAAGATCATTTGAGTTTGATGCTATATCACTTTAAAGGTGGATTAATATAAATTGTGAAATTTACTGTCTTGTCTAAATCAACCCTGAATATTAGGCATCCCTTCGTACTCTAATAATAAGATAGAATGATAAATACTCAGCGTTACTCTACTGTGATAAAGAATTCTTGATAAATTATGCAAAATTTATTAAAAAATGTATTAAATAATATTCATTTTTAACATTATTTTTATTCATGACTCCTTAGTGCCTTATTCTATTTAAGCATTCATCTAATAATCAAAAATGAAAATATAGTGGATTTTAATATTGAAATGTTGTACATTTGTTAGAAATTTCAAATAAATAAATAAATAAATAATGATTAGACGAATCTTTAATTTGACGGTTCTTTTATTATTACAGAGTGCAAATTGTGCTTTGCAATCTGTTTATGAAGAGTTTAATAATAAACAGATTACATTGACTAATACAAGTTGGAAATGTAATGACTTAAGTAGTCCAACTTAAGTGTTAACTTGCACTAAAGGAATGGATTTAGTAGTACTAAAAGAAATATAATAACCATGCCATAAAATTTTGAATATAATCGAAACAACTGTGCCTCACTTTAAGATTTAATTGTATATTGATGTATATGGTTATAATACGATTGATGCAAATGACTATTTTCTGGTAGGTATTTCTGAAAATTCTTTTTAAGAGTCTTTGTGCATTCATCCTTTCAATTAAGGCAAATACTTACAATAGTGTTCTTCAAATAATAATATTTGGTTGACTCGCAAATCCTACTTTCAAGAAATTGCCCATTCTAATCAATAACTGAGTCTGGAAATACGAAGTGAAGTTGATGGACCATTTAATGATGAGTCCTATTTATTTAGAAATGTCTAAATAATTTTAGATAGATGTTATAAAACCTGCAAGACTTGTTCAGGTGAAGGAAAGGAATAGTGCTTATCTTGTTATGATGATATAATTTTGAGTTCTAATAACTCATGTGATTCTTGTCAGAGTAAAACGGGTTAAAATTTCCTTCAAATTCCAGATGGATGTAGAAATAAATGTACTAATAATTAAGATTATGATGAAGATTATGTTTGTATTGAAGATATAAGTAATAAATTATAGTATTTCTTAGATCTTTAAGTTAAATGTGAAATTGATTGTGAATTATGTACTAATACCTAAAGTTGTTTAATTTGTAAACCTTAAAAATATCTCTATTTTGGGTAATGTATGGATCAATGTCCAAAATACACAATAGTATATGGAACTAATTGTTTAAGTAATATTGATAGTCTTTTAAAAAATAAAAATTTAAGAATTACTCAATTAGTAAGAGAATTTCATGATCTATCAACAACAAAAAGCTTGACGAATGAACTATTTTAAATTATATCAACAACAAATCAATATAGTTTATAAAAAGGTAATGATATTTATTATAGCTATTTTTCCAATAAAAGAATATTTGGAGGACCATTAGTTTGGGTTAATGCAGAATTTAAATTTACTAAAAGTTGGATCTAAGAGTTCTAATTTATTAGAATATTTTTTGAAGTTATTTTAGGGGATATTGAATTAAATAAAAATATACTTACATATAAGTTAAATGATCAATAATAGGAAACCATCATTTTAAATGAAATGTATTAAGGAAATAATCCAAATATATAGGATCAAATATGGCCTGATAACTATTAATTCAATATATATAAAGTAGAAAAATCGATAAATTTCTTTATATAGTCAAATAAGTAATTAACTATAGAGATTAAATGTTAAAATGCTAATGAACTTGGATTTTGTGGAATTTAGAATATGGTTATAATTGGATTTTCTAATTGTGAACCTGAATATAACTTTGACTTTCATAATTATGAAACTGGAAGAAACCCTTGCATTCCAATTTGTGGCGATAAAATAGTTGTTGGAGACGAAGAATGTGATGATGGAAATAATGATCCTTTTGACGGATGTTTTAATTGTAGATATGAATGTGAAGACCAATGTTCTGAGTGTTTATATGGTTACTGTATTATTGAAAAAACAAAACCATTACTATATTCTTAGAAAATCCAGAATGATACAGTTGAATATAAATTGAAATGCTAAGAAAGTGAAGATTGGTATTGTGGTAGTATTTGTAATGGTTAAATTCAGAACCAAAATCAATTTTTAAGCTAAAATTATTTTTGCAACTGCAATTGTCTTCATTGTGTCAAAGGAATTTGTTATTTATGTTAAGAAGGAAACTATTTGTTTAATAATGATTGCATTGTAGAAAAAATTGATTAAATTATGTATGTGGAATAGAAATCATTTTGTGGGGATGGAATAATCTAAGTGTTTGAATAGTGTGATGATACAAATTATCTTTTATTTGATGGTTGCTTTGCTTGTAAACATTCTTGTGATATCAATTGTTATTAATGTTTTTTTGGAAGATGTGAAATTTGTAAATATGGTTATGTTTTGACTTCTGATTCTAATTGCTTTTTAAATTGTGGTGATGATCTAATTCTCCCGTATTAGAATGAATAATGCGATAACTAAAATACGATAGGATATGATGGTTGCTATTGTAAATTAGAATGCTAACCTTATTGTCTATATTGTGATAAAGTACAATAATGTTTGAAATGTAAAAAAGGATTCTCACTTTAAAATAATTATTGTATTCCTATTTGCGGAGATGGATTCATCGTAAATGGGTTTGAAGAATGTGATGATGCTAATTATCAACCATTTGATGGATGTTATGAATGTAAATATTAATGTCATCAAAATTGTGGAATTTGTAATAAAGGCAATTGTTAACATGAAATTTGCTAATTAGGAATGCAATGGACGATAAACTCTTGTTCGGCTATTTGTGGTGATAATTTGGTTGTAGAAATTGAAGAATGTGATGATGGTAATTCACAAGAATTTGATGGATGTTTTAATTGTAAATATTCGTGTATTGAAAATTGTGAAATCTGTAAAGAAGGATCTTGTAGAGGATGTAAATAAGGATTTTTTTTAAAGGACAATAAATGTCTTGATTTAACGATTTAATAGTATTAATATTAAGATTATTAATTAACTATTTAGAATTCTAAAAATTTTTGGATATGTCACGATTAAGAATGTGCTTATTCTTAGAGTCCTAAAATGAAAATTGTACTTTTGAATTAATTTTTTTAAGAATAATACATCTAAGTCTACTTTGATTAGGAAGTAAAATTAAAAGAAACTACTGAAAATTTATCATTTGAATTATTCGATATCTAATTGAAAAATTATAATGTTTCAACATATAGGATAAAACTTTATCCAATTTAAGAAATTGCATATGATGCACAATAAATTAGTTATCAGATAGAGATTAAAAATTTGATAAATTTTGATGAAAAACCTCTTTTATAAATTGATTTAATTAATGAGGTTACTAATACCAATAATCAAACAGTATCTTAAAGATAAGTTGAAATAAAATTAAAAACTTCTATATTTCTATCAGATGAAAAAAGATTAATTTCTTTATAAACAAGAACTTCTAATAAAGTACTTATGATTGTAGGAATATCATTTAGTGTATTATCATTAATATCAGGAGAGACTTCATTTTTTGTTCAAATCCTTAATGTTTTACAATATTAATCATATCTAAAATTTATAAATATTGATTATCCAGAGAATCTGGTCATCTATTTTTCGGCATCTGAAATTTTGGAAATCAGCACATATTTATAGATTATGGAAATCGATCAAATATACAATATCATTACACCAAAAGAGGAGAGCCCTGAAGTAGATGGAAAATTTAAGTTTTATAATGTAGACCCAGATCTCTTTATCAACATTCTTCCTCAAATCATTTAAATGATCACATTATTAACCTTATTACTCTTAGGAAAGAAATATTATGAATTGCTGACATTTACTATTAATTCAAGAAATATCACTAATATTCTTAGTGATAATCTTAATTGTTTTAAATTAATCATCATCAAGATATTTACTAAGCTTAGAATCTGGATCAAAGGAATAATGTGTATGAAATACAATTTTAGCAATACTCACATGAGACATTTTATACTAATTAATGCATGGGATTTACTATTTAAAGGTTTTCTTTCTCTTTATCACAGTTAATATAATAACTTAAGAAATATAATATAATATCTGATGAGCCTTGGTTTAGTATGTTTCTACCTTTATTTTATTTTAAAAACAATAAAAATTACATCTAATAGTAAAGATATAATATCTACTGGACGATGTTTATAATCATTTGACATAGGTAGGAAACTTTTATTTCATTTTTTCTTAGTGTATTTTTAAGATAATTAAATTCTTTAAACTATTTTCATTTCTCTAAATAGTTGTATTTGGTGTCTTATAATCTAAAAATACCAATAAACTAATATCATTGATAAATTTATATCATTAATCATTGAAGGATAGGTAGCATTATTTACTTTAACATCATTTGTATATTTTTAAATTAGCAGGTAGTATTTTACCGGAGAAAAGATTATCTAAATTGGTTTTTTCCATATAGGTTTGCTTCTTTTAAGTTTAGCCATAATCATATTGAAATATGCAATTGTTAAATTAAATTAAATGTTAAGAATTATTGTCAAAAAGTAAGAGGAAACCCCAAAAAATATAAATATGTTTTATTGATAATTATATATAAGCTTATAATATAAACTTAAATTAATTAAGCTTGCATCTGAATTATTTAGTAAATAAATTTTGTATTTTACTCCCTATATATGGTTTGATTTTTAATAAATAAATGTGTATAAATCGGAAAGGTAGAATTCAAAGTTTATGTTTAACTTTTAAATTTCCTTACAATTTTCATTCTCTTCCCTAAAACACTAGAGCAATTGAATCATATAAAATAAATAATTTAATATAGTTAATAAAAATTTGATAAAATCAATCAACACCTTATTTTTTTTAATTTTTATTTTAATTAATTATTTATTTGTTACTTATTTAATTGATTCCAAAAATATATTCTTATTGGGGTTTTTGTGCACCTAAAATAGATGGATGAATTATCAGATTTATTAATAATACATTGTATATATTGATCTAAACTAATTTTATTTGAAATACAACTTTAACTTAGATAAATTCCTATATTTCTATCGATCTTCTGATAAAAAANAACCTTATTACTCTTAGGAAAGAAATATTATGAATTGCTGACATTTACTATTAATTCAAGAAATATCACTAATATTCTTAGTGATAATCTTAATTGTTTTAAATTAATCATCATCAAGATATTTACTAAGCTTAGAATCTGGATCAAAGGAATAATGTGTATGAAATACAATTTTAGCAATACTCACATGAGACATTTTATACTAATTAATGCATGGGATTTACTATTTAAAGGTTTTCTTTCTCTTTATCACAGTTAATATAATAACTTAAGAAATATAATATAATATCTGATGAGCCTTGGTTTAGTATGTTTCTACCTTTATTTTATTTTAAAAACAATAAAAATTACATCTAATAGTAAAGATATAATATCTACTGGACGATGTTTATAATCATTTGACATAGGTAGGAAACTTTTATTTCATTTTTTCTTAGTGTATTTTTAAGATAATTAAATTCTTTAAACTATTTTCATTTCTCTAAATAGTTGTATTTGGTGTCTTATAATCTAAAAATACCAATAAACTAATATCATTGATAAATTTATATCATTAATCATTGAAGGATAGGTAGCATTATTTACTTTAACATCATTTGTATATTTTTAAATTAGCAGGTAGTATTTTACCGGAGAAAAGATTATCTAAATTGGTTTTTTCCATATAGGTTTGCTTCTTTTAAGTTTAGCCATAATCATATTGAAATATGCAATTGTTAAATTAAATTAAATGTTAAGAATTATTGTCAAAAAGTAAGAGGAAACCCCAAAAAATATAAATATGTTTTATTGATAATTATATATAAGCTTATAATATAAACTTAAATTAATTAAGCTTGCATCTGAATTATTTAGTAAATAAATTTTGTATTTTACTCCCTATATATGGTTTGATTTTTAATAAATAAATGTGTATAAATCGGAAAGGTAGAATTCAAAGTTTATGTTTAACTTTTAAATTTCCTTACAATTTTCATTCTCTTCCCTAAAACACTAGAGCAATTGAATCATATAAAATAAATAATTTAATATAGTTAATAAAAATTTGATAAAATCAATCAACACCTTATTTTTTTTAATTTTTATTTTAATTAATTATTTATTTGTTACTTATTTAATTGATTCCAAAAATATATTCTTATTGGGGTTTTTGTGCACCTAAAATAGATGGATGAATTATCAGATTTATTAATAATACATTGTATATATTGATCTAAACTAATTTTATTTGAAATACAACTTTAACTTAGATAAATTCCTATATTTCTATCGATCTTCTGATAAAAAAGTTAAATAAATGAACATACCTCGTGATCAATTGAGAATAGCTCAGTATTTTGAAAATATATATTATTAGATTATGTTTGGTGCATTTAAATAAGAATTCTTTTTGAATGATTATCAAAATAAAATCAATTCTAATTAAAATTATGAAAATTATGATAATTGTTGAGAATATAATATGTAAATGGTTATAATATCATTTTGAAGTTTCAAAAATTATAATAGAATCCAGATTCATCAATATCTGAGTTGCTAGAATAATGAAATTCTTTTGCATTATAAATCTTAAAGAGGTTTCAAGCAGAAATACATTTTTCAAATAAAGTATAAATTTGAAATTCGAATTGAATAAATTATTAAAATTTTTGTAAAAAGCCAATTTATCTGACAGCAGATCTCAGATCTAAGAATATTTAAACTCTCTATCAAACATGTATTGTAATTGGAAAGTTGTTGATGATCGAAAATATCTTAAGAATCCAAAAATATGAAAATTTAAATCAGTATGAATTTAATTTAATGTTAACTTTTTGCTTAAATAAAAATGCGCAATTGCAATTGTCTTTAACATTTATTAGATAACAGTCTAAGAAAGGATTTTATATTAACAAGTATCTTAAATGGTTGAGGAGTTTGTTTTAAAATCTTCTAATCAATTGGAAATTTTTGAGATGTTGTGAGATAAATAACTGGCAAAAAAAGTTAGCTAAGCTACTCCAGCCTAATATTCTTTTTCGCCTAATCATTTAATAATAAATCTAAAATTTCATATAATTTGAGCTGATTTATTGCCAAACAACATCTAGTAAAAAATTGTTTAAAAATACTAAATAAAAATCCTTTCTTTTTCTTATTTTATTTTACAAAAAATAGATATTTTTATTATATTTGACTTACTGCTTAGCAAATTTTAACTCAAACCTGTTTTTGCTATGCATCTATTTCAATTCCTTTACTAATTTAAGTACTTTGTCTAATACTACCCACTCTTCCAAAAGAATCATCATATGATCCATCACCTCTAATATTTACATTTATTAATATTCCTTTACATAATTATCACAAAACATAACATCCCGTCTACCTACCTTCATAATCTTTTTATTATATTGCCATTATAAATAACTTGAGAATCATAACAAAAATTTTGGTTCAACCTAGTCCAATTTCCTTTCTTTAATCTTTCTTTATTTTTAATCCAACTAATTTATTCTTAAAAATGAGTTGATCTTTTTATTTTTGTAGCATCATTACTTACTTAGAATTATAAATTAGGAGACTTTAATCCATTCAAATAATATGATAATTTACTTATTTTTTTCTCTATCCACCAACATTTTTTATGACATGACTTTTCCATGATCCATTCCACTTACCATATTTTTGACTCTCTAGTCCACATTGAGTGAAGATGTAAAATCTATTCAATGTGGATATTTGAAAATATTTGAGACTTATCCACTTTTTGGGTTAATAGTCAATTTCACGTTCTCATCCCTCTTAATTTTGTAATCTTTGTAAATATGATTTATATTTTAATCTTCTGAAATTTTTAAACAGACTAAAATTATCTAATGACTTCTTAAAAATGAATGGCTTCTAAGTGAATTATTTTGATTAGAAATTTCATTTAATTTTTTTTCTATTTTGAACATAAGAAAAAAAATAAACAATTTTGATTATTATTTAAACAATCAAAAAGAAATTTAAACTTTTAAGGCTAATTATTTGACATAAAATTTAAAGCCTCGTGAAACTTTTTCCAAATCCACGTCTTGCTAAATAATAATATCCAATATACTCTTGATTTTCTATGGATGAAATATATCATTCTTTTATTTGATGAATAAGATCCTCAAGTTGTAATAATAATTTAATCTCACTTTATTTCTTTTTATAATACCTTAAATTTATTATTATTTTAAAGCTTTGAAAATTTAATTTGTTAAGGAGGACTCATATATATTTATATTTAGGGAGTCGGTATTAAAAATTTCAGAGTGAAGCAATATTTTTCAGAATTTCTATCGCTAAATTATTCTTCTTGGATATAGGTAGATACCAATGAATTTAGAAAGTCTATTATTTATTGTACTTACATAAATTCATCTAATTATTTATATGTAAGAATTTATTGTTAATTATTCTATGTATATATGTAGATAGATGGCAAATAATTTCAAAATTTTATTTTCTTAGAGCAATCTAATTGTAAAATTGAATAGTTTATTATTTATGCTATCTGAGGTAAAATTGTAAAATTTAAATCATATTATTTCTTCAATAGAATATTTGTGGCTTTCAGATATTAATAAACAATAATATTTTATTAAAAAACATGATAAATACTTTAGATTTTGTTATTTCACTTGTTTATTAAAATTAATATAAATATAATTAAATAAAAAATAATGAATGGCTTTTTGAATGTGTTTACAAAATTGGATGGATTCTTTATTTCTTTCAGCCCCTCATTTGGGTTGACAGAATAAAAAATATTTTATAAATCAGTTTGGGGTGGAATGGCAACTATAATAATCTTAACATTTGTATTTGTTTACTCAATAAATTAATTCATCATATGGGAATCGGGTGATATGATCTATAAAGTTTCTACATAATAAAAATTTATAAGCGAAGGAAGTTATTTAGAATAAGCTTTCTTAAAAAGCGATCCTCACTAATTTGTTGATATAGAATTTGACAGCTCGATAAATCCATTTGATAGCAATTAAATGATTATTATCCCATTGCTTTATATCTATAATGAAGAAACGATCTATCAGTTAGATTATTCAGAAGATGGATAATTTAGAACTCTAAATGTGGATTTGAATAATTTACTTGATAATGCTTTTACAATAGTTTTAGTTAAATGCATAGGTAATGAATAGTATATATCTGAAACTTAAAAATGTGCAAGCTAATAATAGAGTGAGGAATTCTTTAATTAAAGCAGTTTATTACCAATTATTACAATTTATAATGAAGAATTTGATTATTAAACAAAAACTTACTATTAACTTGAAACATATATTGAATTACCACTGGATCCAATTCTAACGAGTGAGATACAGATTTATACAAAATATGAAATAATGGAAATAAATTATGGATACTTATTTTAATCATCTGAAGAGTATATAATAAACAATGGATGTACTTCTTAAATTTACACTTATACTAAAGATTATTATAATAAATTTTCATAGAAAATTTTCGGTATTCAAGAAGTTATAGGTGTAGTTAGATTAGAAATGGATTCTTCAATTTTTTATGTTAGAAATTAATATCCAACCATAAGCGAAGTTTTGGCTAACATTGGTTCAATAATTTAAACAATATTATTGAGTAGATACTTTTTCTATGCTTTTAATAGAAACTAATTAAAATCTTATATGAAATCTTTGATATTGACTAACTATTATCCTGAATGGAAAGATATTAACAAAATCAAAAACAATTAAAAAAAAACTTGTGTCTTAGATGATAGGAACATAAATAATACAAGTGTTTAGAAATTTGAGAAAGAAGTTAATGAGATGTTAAATCTTAAATTTGACTTTATTAATTTAATATACGAAATAAATCAAATGTAAAAGATTTTATAATTAATTTCACCACCTGATATATTATTGAATATTCATTCAAATTAATCCAAATTATAATTTTTAGCGGATCAAGATTCAAATAATTTTAGTATTAAAAATACATGGTCTTCATTTAAGGATTATACAGATGCAATTTACTAAAACCATTTGGATCCATTTTTATTTAGTTTTCATTGGAAAACAAAGAATAAGAATAGTAGTTTTTATAAGATGTCGTCTGGCGAAAATAAATAAATATAAAAATAATATGAACCTACTTAAAAACAGGATAATGAAATTTAAGTTGATAATGAATTAAAATTTTAAGATATTAAAATTTGTACTGAGAATAATGATTAATTATCCATAATTGAATAGTAAAATTAGAAATGATTATTTTGTAATTTATTTAATATTCGATTTAATGATTTTTAATTTCAGACAGTTTAGCTCTATTAGAAAAAAATAGTTTAATAAAGACTTTTCTAAGATTGAAAAAGATATCTTAAAGAAGAAACTAACGCGTTTTGATAAATGTGAGACTGAACTTAAATAAAATATAAAAAAATAATTATATTCCAAGTATGGTTGGGGCTGGTTAAAGGTAGGTTTTCATTTTTGTGAAATTTGACAAATTCACTAAAATGAAAACCTATTTTTTATTAGAAAAATAAAAGTGAAGGCCAGGGTTGAGCCATTTTTCTTAAGGTTTTTGAGGTNCAAAATATGAAATAATGGAAATAAATTATGGATACTTATTTTAATCATCTGAAGAGTATATAATAAACAATGGATGTACTTCTTAAATTTACACTTATACTAAAGATTATTATAATAAATTTTCATAGAAATATTTCGGTATTCAAGAAGTTATAGGTGTCGTTAGATTAGAAATGGATTCTTCAATTTTTTATGTTAGAAATTAATATCCAACCATAAGCGAAGTTTTGGCTAACATTAGTTCAATAATTTAAACAATATTATTGAGTAGATACTTTTTCTATGCTTTAAATAGAAACTAATTAAATTCTTATATGAAATCTTTGATATTGACTAACTATTATCCTGAATGGAAAGATATTAAGAAAATCAAAAACAATTAAAAAATAACTTGTGTCTTAGATGATAGGAACATAAATAATACAAGCGTTTAGAAATTTGAGAAAGAAGTTAATGAGATGTTAAATCTTAAATTTGACTTTATTAATTTAATATACGAAATAAATCAAATGTAGAAGATTTTATAATTAATTTCACCACCTGATATATTATTGAATATTCATTCAAATTAATCCAAATTATAATTTTTAGCGGATCAAGATTCAAATAAATTTAATATTAAAAATACATGGTCTTCATTTAAGGATTATACAGATGCAATTCACTAAAACTATTTGGATCCATTTTTATTTAGTTTTCATTGGAAAACAAAGAATAAGAATAGTAGTTTTTATAAGATGTCGTCTGGCGAAAATAAATAAATATAAAAATAATATGAACCTACTTAAAAACAGGATAATGAAATTTAAGTTGATAATGAATTAAAATTTTAAGATATTAAAATTTGTACTGAGAATAATGATTAATTATCCATAATTGAATAGTAAAATTAGAAATGATTATTTTGTAATTTATTTAATATTCGATTTAATGATTTTTAATTTCAGACAGTTTAGCTCTATTAGAAAAAAATAGTTTAATAAAGACTTTTCTAAGATTGAAAAAGATATCTTAAAGAAGAAACTAACGCGTTTTGATAAATGTGAGACTGAACTTAAATAAAATATAAAAAAATAATTATATTCCAAGTATGGTTGGGGCTGGTTAAAGGTAGGTTTTCATTTTTGTGAAATTTGACAAATTCACTAAAATGAAAACCTATTTTTTATTAGAAAAATAAAAGTGAAGGCCAGGGTTGAGCCATTTTTCTTAAGGTTTTTGAGGTGTTGGCCAATTATAAATTTATTTCAGCAGTCAGATAATGTTGAATGTTCTAACAATAAATTGGGTTTGGGTTTGGGTTTGGG